TAAAAAAAAAAAAAAAAAAAATCACATCAGTTTATTTCCCTCTCTACATTTAGAAAAAATAAGACTTTAAACCTCCCCCCCACATAATTTCTTCTTTAAATAAAGAGCCTATTGCATATGAAAATACAGAGGCAGATCACTGTAGCCATTTGCTTAAAAAAAAAAAATCTCATTTCCCCTAGACTGAATCTATACATCCAATATGCAGCCATTTTACAACATACCATGGCTGATTTCAATGTAAATAGCCACATGAAATTACTTTGTTGGAAAATATTTTCAAAAAAAGGAAAGATAAATGGATTCCTTCCTTCTTCTCCAAAACTGATGGTCAGAAACCTATTTTATTCCTTACCTTTAACACCCATGGGTGTAGGGCAGTCTCGTGCTACTGGTGGAAGGGCTCTTGTATAGTAGGAAAGGTTGGAAAAGGCTTCCCAGCTTTTGTAACTGTATTCACTATTGTATGTTGGGGGACTGTCAATCAAATGTGACCTTGCTAAAAAACAAACAAAAAGAAGAAACCCCCCAAAATTAGTAGTTGTTTTAAAACATTATATATTACTTAATAAATTAGCTGTAGGGCAAAATCTGCCCACGGTGTTTTTAAACCAATTAATTTGAATAAGGTTATTCAAATTTGTGAGGTTAAAAAGGTTTGTGCCTATTTAACAGCGGAGATAGTGACAAACATCACGTTCAGATGGAAATTCTGGCAGAAGTCTCTGGTGTTGAGAAGGTAGGTTTATGTTCAGACCATCACAGAAATAAGGAGCAGCTTCGGCTTACCAATGGGAAGCTTAACTTCCCCCAAATTTTGAAGTATGTGGAGAGTCAAGATTTTCCTTAACATAACTTTAGTTTTGTACTTTTTGTTGTTTAAATCTTAAAAATAAATAACTGTATGCTAACTTATATTTGAATCATCATATTAAAAGTAGACAGCTGAACAAATCATATATGCTTTAAAAATATGCCCAGCTTCTTGTTTCGCATTTTCAAAAAAATAATAATTTTGGTCATAGTAGATTCTCTCTCATTGCTTTTCCTATTTTCAGTTGTTTTGTCTGTGGTTTACATTTTTCTCCAATCCAGAAGTTTTTATATACGACATATGAGGTGTATACAAATGTGTGCACATATGCTACAATCAGAACAACCCTTGAAAATCCTAATACAAACTTCTATTACTGAAGAATAATAGTACAAAGAGAACATACTTACATGTCAATACATATCGCATGATGGCATCACGCAAGAAAGGAATGTTGTTTATAATATTCCAGACCCCCTTGAAGTGTGTGAGGATGTAGTGGACAGTGTTAGGAGTAGGCTTCAATGTGATTTTCAACCAGGTAAAGAATTCGGCTGTTAACATTGGGGAAAAATGAGGAACATTGTAAATTAGTTATGAAAGTAATATGCAAATCTGAAAGTAAAGTACTGAAATGCTCTTCTGCAGCTTTCCTTATTTATTACTGTTAACCATAAAAACATAACTCTGAAATACTTACGTGTAGCGCAGTTTTCCCCATAATACCCGGTCCTTGTGCAGTCACATTCGTATTTGTCAAAGCCTGTTGTCAAACAAACTCCTCTGTTCTGACATGGATTTGAGCAGCAAGGATTAGCTATAATGGAATGGAGAGTACTATTAATTGTTTTCATCTCACCAAAAAATCTTTAGTCAATTTTCTGAGGAATAGCAGATAGTTGTTAGTAATTCACATAGTGCAGTTCTTTAACTGGTAATTTGGAGAAGATAGTAAATTAAATAATTGAGATAGGCATGGTGTGTTTGCATGTTTGGTGCTCTATATAACCACTTCTGAGAGAGATAAAGTAGTATTATAGCCAATTTAGGGATTGGAAAAAATAGTTTAAATGAATGGCCATAGTGATTTAACATTTTAATTTGGACATGGTCACAGTTCCAGAAGTATAGCTTTCCTATCATGGATACTTCTGCCATACAGGGTTTCCAATATGTATGGCTATATTGTCTCCCGTCTCACACTTATGGCACAAATCTCTGGACTACAAGTGTATGAAGCAGGGACTTTTTGTTCTTTGGCTGTACAGCACTAGCACATTAGGGTTCTGGTTCGGGCTAGGGCTTCCACATTATACAAATAAGTCCTGATATCTCTAATTCTCTATGCTGTACTGGTTCCTCTTCCAGTTGTTAATATAACTTCCAGTGTTTATATTGGTTTTTGCTTTACTCATCAGCTGAATAACACAGAGCTGGGCCCCTCGTAGGTTCATAGATTCCAGGGTCGGAAGGGACCTCAGTGGGCCATTTAGTCCGACCCCCTACCCTGGCAGGCAAGAAAAGGGTCACCAAACCTGGGATCATGTGATCCCAGCCAGGTGCCTGTCTAGTCTCCTCTTGAAGACCCCCAAGGATGGGGCGAGCACCACCTCCCTTGGAAGCCCATTCCAGATCCTAGAAACCCTGACCGTGAAGAACTTTTTTCTAATGTCCAGTCTAAAGCTAGTCTCCAGTAGCTTATGGCCATTGTTCCTTGTTGTACCAGGGGATGCCCTGGTAAACAGATTGCTGCCTATTTCATATTGCGCCCACTTATGAATTTGTATGCTGCCACAAGGTCCCCTCTCAGCCTTCTCTTGGAGAGGCTGAAGAGGCTGAGGTCCCTTAGTCTTTCCTCATAGGGCCTTCCCTGCAGGCCTTTAATCAGACGAGTGGCTCTTCTTTGGACCCCCTCCAGGGTGTCTGCATCCCACTTGAACTGCGGCGTCCAGAACCGGACAAAGTACTCATATATTAGTAAAGCTTCCCCTTTAACTGGAGACAAAGGTGGATCATGCCATGAGGATGTACCGTGCACCCCTGCACCCCTTCTTTTTGAAATCCTTGATCTGCCCGTGTGTGTGTGTGTGTGTGTGTGGGCATGCACCCGTGTGTATGTACATGCATATATATGTGCTTGTGGGCATATATAAATATAGAAACATCTGTATGTGATGTATAACATGCAATATGACAGGCTATAGATCTAGAGGGTCTGGAGGAAACACAGGTCACATTTACTACAGGAAATTCAGGTATTTGATACAGAACATGCGATATGACAGTCTATAGATGTGGAGGATATAGATCTAGAGGCAACACAGACCACATTTAAGGCAGCAATTTCAGGCAGTTGATATATGCAGTATGCCAGTCTCTAGACCTGGAGGATATAGATCTAGAAAAGACACAGACCACATTTACGACAGGAAATGCAGGTATTATAACTGTATGCTCCACATCAAATACCTGGATATCCTGTAGTAAATGTGATCTGTGTTTCCTCTAGATCTATAGCCCGTTACATATCAGGCGGTATCTAGATCTGGAGGAAACACAGACCAGGTTTATCCAGAGAGAGTTCTTGGAGGTGCCCTGGCAGCAAGAGCCAGAGGCAGAGACAAGCGAAGCCCCGAGGTCCGGATCTCGAGAGGAGGCACCAGCCGGAGGGAGAGGCTGGAGGCTGCGGGACTTACCTGCGCGGCCGGAGGCCAGGACGAGCGCGAGCAGGGACGCGCAGAGCAGGATCATAGCGCAGGGGCTGCCCGGGGAGTCGGCGCGCGCTGCCGGCGGCAGTCTGCTCGGCTCGGGATGCTGCGGCTCGGCAGGCTGGTGTGGCCCCGCTTCGTTCCCCTTCCTATTTATGGCCCGCAGTGAGTGACGTGCGAATGCCCCCCAGCAGATGGGGAAATTCCGGCTACAGACGTGAGCGGCGAGATTGCCCTGCCCCCTTCTGCCGCTGCGCAGTGCTCCCGAGCGCCGCCCCAGCTGAGCCCCCGCAGTCGCCCCGCGGCTCGCCCTCCCCCCCGCCCGCCGAGCAACGCGACACGTCAACGACGGCAGCAGCAGCAAGAGCGGGAGGAGACTAGTCGGAAGACTAATCCTAATAACTGCTAATAACTGACTATTCAAAGCAACGCCAGGAAAACTGAACAACCACGAGAACAACTCCACCAATATTATTATTCTTACTAGGATGAAGAGCAGTCAGTCATTTTATTTGTGATGACCTATTGATTGTATTCGTTATCATGATTGGCGTTGCTAATCAGCCCGATAGTAACAACAACAACTAATCATAACTGGCAGCAAGAGTACAACCATACGGGTATTCTCGTCACGCTTCTCAGCAGGAGCAGGGACCGCCAAGGGCGATCTTGTTACTCTGGTCAGCACCAGCAAGACTAAACAACAGCAACACCAATATTGTTTTTAGTAGTAGTATAATTATTAGTTATTAAACTTACTAGCGATTAGTTATTAATGTTAGTATTAGCATTGTCGGCAACACCAATAATAACTAATAACAACAACAAAACCATATGGTTATTCTTGTTACTATCAGCAACAGCAACTAACAACAACTATAACACTAATATTATTATTATTGTCGCTAGTATAATGATTAGTTATTCATTTTATTAGCTATTAGTTATAATTGTTAGTATTATCACCAACAACAGTAGTAACTAATAAAGATAACAAAATCAGATTCTTATTCTTGTTACTATCAACAGCAACAATTACCAACAATATTATTGTCAGCAGCAACAACAATAAACAACAGCAACACTAAGATTGTTATTGTTGGTATAATTATTTGTTATTAATTTTATTAGCTATTAGCTATTATTATTGTTAGTATTAGTATTATCAGCAACAACAGTAATAACTAATAACAATAACAAAGCCATACTGTTATTCTTAACAGCAACAATTAACAATATTATTGTCAGCAACAGCAATAATAATAACAATACTGAGATTATTATTATTGTTAGTATTATTAACAGCAACAACCAATAACTGATATTATTATTAATAATAATGACAGCAACAATAATAATAACAAATAACAGTACCAATAATAGCAACACAACAACAATGGCTGACAGTAACAATAATAAAAACCAATGATAATAAGCTTAAAAAAGACAATAATGATAATAAAGCACCAACTGACAATAATAATAATAAAAACCAATGATAATAAGCTTTAAAAAGACAATAATGATAATAAAGCAGCAACAATAATGACACCCATAACACTAATCAGACTAATAATTACAACAATGATAATGATAAGAATAACAATAATGATGATAGTAATAGCAGTGACAAGAAGAATAGCAATAATAATACTAATAGTAATAATGGCAACAATAATAATAACAGCACCAGTAATAATGATAATGGTAACAATAGGCAGCTACATCAAACCCCATGTCCCATGCCAGTGAAAACTTGGCTTCTCTATTTTCCTGCCCCTGCAATTTCCTGAAAAATTGCATTTTATAAGAAAACATAATTAAAAGCAGGCCAATAGTACCTGCTAAATATGGCATTCCTTTTGGAAGGACTTCCCCCACCTCAGCTCAAATAGAGCATGATCTTCTCCCTTCTCCCCCCCACCCCCAACTAACTCCTAATAATAGGTGCTTTTGTTACATTTGCTGTTCATAAAAAATAATGCAAAATTACTTGGGAGTGTGCCTGCACATGCAAATGCCATGGGATGAGTTTACTCTATGGGCTGGGGCTGGCGGGGGGAGGGGGAGGGAACGCCCAGCCGACTGGGACATGGAGCTTGGTGGCACTCCCACCCTCTCCCCAAGGGGCCTTTCTGGAGAGATGGCAGTCTCCCCCATGCTGGTTCTGCACCCCAAACATGCCCCTGCTGACAGTGTTCTGGACACGCCACGAGGAGCTGTTTGTACAGATTGAGGGGTGCCCGAGCCACTGCTGCTGCTGCTCACTATGGTGTCCCAGGTGCACCTGAGAACTTGACACAGGACCCTGAGCTTTGATGGTGTGGAGGGCAGACAGGCTTCAGTATTCACCTGCTTGGCTGAAAGCCATGAGTGCGATCACCAAAGCGCAGGGCAGGATCACAGTGAATGGGTTGTCCAGGGGAGTCTGCGAGTGCTGGCTGTGTCTTGGCAAGCTCTTCTCCTTGGGACGCTGCGGCTTTGCAGGCTGCTGTGGCCCAACTTGCATCAACTCCCAATTTATGGGCATAAGTGATGTGGAAATGGTGTATCCTGTGCTTCTGGTGACTAGGAAATTCCCTCTGCATTTGCATAGGGTTGCGCGTACTTCCTTCACCCTGTATACCTTCCCTGCCTCTATTGTCAGCTCTTCTTTAAGATCAGGTGATTCCTTCTTCCTTTCCAGCCCACCAGTAAGTCCTTTTCCTCCCAGGACGGCCACACTCCTCTCCTTGCTTCCTGAGGGGAAACAGAGCTCCAAAGCATGGGTTTTCTAGAAGCTCAGGAGGTGGCTGCTTCACCTCAGTGGATCTGAGTGCAGCGGTGAGCTGGGCTTCTGCTTCTGAGTCTCTTGGTAGCATATGGGGGCAGCTGAGAGCTCAGCTACTGGGATGGTTGAATTGCTTCTTGGCTTTCCCTTCTCCCAGGCTTCAGCCCCTCACCTCCTTCCACACTGTTTAATAACACAATAATAATAATAATAACAACAACAACAACCACCACCTCAGAGAGAAGTATAGGAAACACTATAATGGAAGGCTAGAATCTATTCATAGAGATATTTCAGCCTAACCTTCATTACATAGAATGGCATTTAATTTTTTACTTGGTTATTTAGGTAGCTAGGGCATTCACCTAGGAAGACAGAGGTCCTAGCTCTCCCCACCTCTGATCTCAGAGGAATTTGAACCCGAGTCTCCCTAACTTCTCAGGCCAGCACTCCAACCTTCACACCACAGTCAAGCCATTATCCTGTCCCTTCTTTGGAGCTCCCGTTGAAGGTGACCCCCGGGGTGTCATAAGAAGGTATATAGAAAGTATGGAGGGCCAGGAAGAAAGGGGCAAGCCAGGGGCTTGTGGTTTAGCATGGTTGTTGTTTGCTGGAACAAGAGGGGGCCCTAAGTTGTAGCTGAGGCCCTTGTTCCTAGTTGGACAGAAACTTCCCTCATGTACTACCCTCTGTCCATTTTTTTTTCCAGGTGAGTATGGTAGTAGTTTGGCTTCAAAAGGAGCA